TGGAAAAGGCCGTTCGGCCCTGCTGCCGTTTGGGTATTCTTTGTTATTGTCCATAAGCCTCCACGATTTAAAGATGAAGTTAGCCTCTGGCTATCTGAAACAGCCTGGTCATCTGACTTTCCAGCCTTAAGAATTGAGATTGCTTGCTCAATTTCCGGTGATTTTTTACTATTTGCCAGTTTGTTATGAAGTTTATGTAGAACATATCCTCCTATGTACTGTAGTCCAGCTTCTTCTTCAGCTGAGAGTTTAGTTAATGGTGCACAAGTACAAATACTAGAGTCTTTGGCTTTCTCCTTGCTGCCAGCCAATATAAAATCTGCCACTTTGGTAGATAGCAATGTCGCTGCATCCCTAGACAACCCCTCAAAATAAATTACTGCATTTGAGACTACTGCAGAGTAGAAGGAAGTATAGAATCGTTCCGCGTTGCCAGACTTGACCAAGCGACCATACATGTTTTTGATTTCGCTTATACCTCCATTTGCTGGATTTGTTTGGTAGGTGTTTATTTCCTCTCTAATCGAAATTGGATACAATTTCTTTCCAACTATTTTGGCTTCTGATTTGTGGATGATTTCACAATAAATCTCGAAGGTGAACTGCTCTGTTTCCCTTGGCTTTTCGGACGAGTCTGCTCTATTTTGGTCTTTGTGCTTCGCTGTTTTGTGTCGCTTTAACTCACTCTTGCTTTTGCACTTCTTGGAACACAGTTCGCATACTAGGTCATCGAATTCGACCTATTACAAATAGATATGATATTAAAAAGATTACAGAATACCCGACATAAAAGCACGATAAACAGTTGAACTCGATCTTGTCAAACATACCGAAATGGTAATAGCAAAACAGTTGTTTTCTCTCGCTTTTTAAACTGATGGGGAAGGTTATAATAATTACATCGTCATCAGCTTCTGTAAAGTACTCATCTAGCTCTTCTTCTGCAATGTCTAAAATGGTATTAAAATCGTCTCCGAAAATAAAAAGTTCACTACTATCCGCCATGTTCCCTTGTAGTGCAAATCAAGGATGTACACGTTCGCGTGACGTCACGGTACGTTTCAACCTCAGGAGCCCAACAATAGGCCGGCCCTTTCATGTATACCGGCCTTCATAACCAGTCCCCTCTATTAACTATGGTCTAATAAAGCAGCTCAACACCACTCCCATGGCCACTTGACCTCGGGTTGTGAAGAAAGGAGTAACCAGACGGGCAAAGCTCACCAATAACAACATTATCGCCACGACACTGAAGCCACGTCTCGGTTATAGCAAGAATGTCAACAGCTCTCTCAACAACAAGGTCCTTTTTAGGCAGAGTCTTATAACGGACTGAACGAGCATTAATAAGAGAGAACATAAAATTAGATGTCTTCGTACTGTTTGAGCCAAGGGAATGAGAGTTGTCCACATATTGAAGGTTGAGCAGACTATTATAATTTGCAACACGAAGCTTACGCCGAATAAGCCGATCGTGGCAGGTAGGCAGTAATGCAGGAACCGGTTTGGCTAAAAGATGTCGTCCACCACGAGATCGACGAGTCGTCAAAATTCCAAGATGCTTCAAGTTCAAGAAGACACGTTCACGGAGTTCTCCGTGGATTACCTCTGAATTGAAAGACCTTATGCATAATAGAGACATATTAAAAATCAAAGCTGGTAAGACAAATGATCCTAACGATTGGGCATTATTTAAGAAACAAAGAAATATAGTCAATAAGCAAATACGCTCAGCTAAGCAAGCTTATTACCAAAATAGTTTTAATAAGCAAACCAGCGACTCCCGAAAGACCTGGCAGACTATAAACGAGCTAACTTCTCGAAAATCTGGGAAAACGCCAGTGGCGTCACTAAAAGTGAACGGATTAACGATAACTAATCCGTTGGAGCTATCAAACGAATTCAATAACCACTTTGCTAATATTGGTCCAAAACTTGCCAGTGAGATAAATTGTGATAGTGGTAGCTATCAAAGATATCTTACCGCAACAGATAAACGGTTTAAGCTCCAACCCACCAATCCAACTAAAGTATTTTCACTTTTAAATAAACTAGACAAGTCAAAGGCAACAGGCCTTGACAAAATATCTGCTAGGCTTATCAGGGAATGTGCTGATCTCATTTGTGTGCCGATATGTGATATTTTCAATCAATCTATTAGCCAAGGGACGTTCCCAGACGACTGGAAATATGCAAGGATTACCCCTCTTTATAAACA